ATTGAAATGGACATTATTATCGATACAGAGTCCGAATCTATAGTTTTTAGAATTTTTATCTGTCTGTCTGTCTGTCTGTTACCGCATTACGAGAAAACCACTGGACAGATTTTGATGAAATTTGGTATGATGATAGTTGGTTATCCGGGTCAACATATAGGATACTTTTTACCGCGGGAAAATATCTCATTTCTGAGAAAAAAATACAAAAACTGCATTGTAAGAGTATACTAATATGTTTTTAAGAATTTGGTTGTTAGCCATCTGAACGCGGGCGGAGCCGCGGGCAATGCTAGTTAACTATATAAAATTCCTATCACTAGTAATAAAAGTGAGAGATAGATAGATTGTTGGGAACCGCCTGAGTTAGAATGCAAAAGAAATTTTAGTTTGTAATAGGTAAGTATAACAAAATGTATATATTGGTCGACCACTAATAGTGCCTGCCACCTGCTGTCTTATCGCTTTAGTGCTATTCGCGTATAACGAAAAATTCGTTCACACGATAAACGTTATTAACATTATTCACATAAATGTTTATCTTTATTTAAATATACCTATTATTATTATAAAACTTTATATCTTTATATATTTATTATATCGTTTAATATAATGGATATTAGCACTCACTGTTTTTTGTAAACTACCAAACTACCCTCCAAGATAACTGATATATAATTCATCGTGATATTTTGGGGCTAATTAAATATTATTAATATGTATTAGGTTGGTATATTTCTGACATTGACAGGGAGAGTGGGTTCTTCTCACGAATGTAGAGTAAATTTCTGCAAAGAAAAAATAAAAAATGTGTGAAGATTAAGTGTTTATTAACTGCTTGCGCAACTAATAAAATAGCACAAGGTATAACGAGAAGTGTGGACAATAATATCGGAAGCTAAAAATAATATAAAATATTGCAACAGTTTATTTATCATATTATCTTGAACGTTTAATAATTTATCTGTGAAAGTGTTGCCAGTAATTGTTTACGACCATTGGTAGTAATAATTAAGATGTTTTATGTTTATTCCATTATATAAATTAATTTATTACTATGACAAGCATAGTAAATCTACATACTTTATTATTTATATGTTTCTTATTTAAGAGATATATTTTTTTTAATTTTGTTTGAATTGTCATTGGTATTTGCACCGAGACAATATTGAGACGATGACCAATTGTCACAGTGAATCCTCTAACTTGGTATTTTCCGGGTAATGGAGAAGTTTTATTTCAAGACCAGCAGTCTCGATCACTTATATTATTATATTGTTATTGTACTTAAAATGAAATATAGAATAATAATTTATTAAAAAAGTAGTTGACTAAGGTGGGGACCTATCTCTAAAAGAGATCTCTAACTCTTCCAGCCGTAAAAAATATTAGCGAGGTAATACACAGTACAGTATATACTATAATATTAGTAAGTACATAATATGTATATTATAATTATAATATCAGAGAAAAACTAAAAAAATAACTCACACATTTTAGTGTTATATCTTTCTCCAGATGAGTCTGGTACAATATGAGTATTGTACCATCAGATTTTAATATGAAATATGAAGTATGATTTAAAACAAGCCATAAAAATATTTTCTTAGATAAATCTATCAGTTAGATAATTTATTTAAATGTATAGTTATAGAAATTATATAATTTCCATCTAAATTAATTGCTTATGACATCGCTAATAGAATATAAAAATACATGAGAGTAACACATTGTGACACGGCGGATATAACACTTAGATTAGTGATTTCCATATTTTTCTTTGTGTTTTTTTATTAGCGATAGCGATTATAGAATATATAAACTCGATAAAAACCCTTGGTGTTAATTTTTTGTAGTGTGTTATTGCCCTAATGAAGATTGTCATCGTATGCACTATTTTTGCAAGACAATATTTCATTGAACCGATAATATAAAGGGCAGATGATCTAATCTCATAAAAGTGTACATAGAGTATGAATTTATTCGCTCGTGAGACTATTACCATAACTTTATCATTGTTTTCATAGTATCCATCGATATTTTATTATTGACACAACTCGTTTACTTAAATTATCTATAATATATCTATTAGTAAGAATTTACATTTTAACGTTTATATCTCGCAAAACCCAGCTTATCTTATTATAAAAATATGTTAAGATTGAGTAAATTGATATAAAAATATATTGTGTCTTACATAAAACTAGCGACTAACCCTCGTTCCGCTCTGGTGCGTCCTTACGTAGTTTTTATATTTATGGCATATACATTATACAAGCAGCGCCATCTTGTAGCAATTTTTAATACTTATACAGCCTTTGTGTTATTCTAGGTTATAGTATATCATCCTCTCAATGTGCATTGAACTAGACTTGGAGGAGCTAATTAGCGTCCGGCAATCCAGCCGGGCGCGAAGCCAAGAAGCATACTGGGTCGTGTGCCATGTTGTGTGGTCTGCTTAGTCAGACCTGCTGTCGGGGCGTCGTGATTGAGTACGTAAGCGACCCTGCGACACCCCATAAAATAGGTGAGGTTCTGTTGGGGTTTAAAAAAATGATATCAGATATTCTAAATTTCATCTATAACAGCCCAACCTTTTTAGTATAAAGGAGTAACAAATATGAACGCACATACAAACATTTATTTATAGTATTGTGAATTGTGATGACACTACGTGACAAAAACTATTATAATTTTCTAATTCGCTCACCAAAACCATATTCATTCATCTACGTACTATACTATGTATAGCTTTGATTATGTCATCTCTCGTGCTATGTGAAACAATAAATTACCAGCTTTTTTCATCCATTACATCCGGAGTTATTAGACTGTGACACATTGATCTTAAAAAGTTTCCGTATTTTTATCAAATTAACGAAACCCTATAAATGGTTTATGTAACGCTTCATTAAAATTACTTTTTAAAAATAAATTAATTTAGTAATTTTGATAGTATAAAACATTAGGCAGATTGCCAAATATCATTTAAATTTTACTTAAGTTTATATTAAAAAAATATATAAAACCTTTTTTATCAGATCGTCAACCCTACACGAAAATTCCCATAGTCAATACACAGTCTGTCGCAGCGGGGACGTACGCATAGTTTCAGACGAATTTAGTATATGTATTATGTAGGTATGTCTGTCAGACGTTATTATACGTAGAATTTTATGTCCATAGTTTATTAGCATTGAATACTTTGTCTAGATCATCTAGATGCTAGTATAAATAGTGGCAGATCGAAGTGTTAGAGTTTCGGATGATGAATATAGAAGTTTTAAAGAATAAATTGTTTATTGAGAAATTTTGTAGTAGCACAAAATTTAGGAATTTTGACGATTGCCTCTTCCTTCAGAGAGCACATAAAGCGTTGGTCTTGTAGCAGATTCTCTACAGTATGTTAAAGCCAAAGGGACTATTAGATTGAGGAATTAATGGGTTCACCAGTGTTTGTACAAACATTTGTGCATAGTGCAAGTCTTATGCGAAGAAAGCTTGTCTCTGTGGGAATGGATAGGTCCTATGAAAATTAAATAATTACTTTTGACTAAAAAGTTAATAAACATAGATTCAAAAAGCTTTTTGTTTAAATAAAAGGTCTTTATTTAGGTCTTTACATTTTTAGGATTGAAAGTTTTTCTTGGAAATTATAACCATTAAAAATAAAAATTTGTTACCTGTATGTAGTCCTTTTTTAGAGTCGGTTAAGAGTTTAGTTAATAACAAATTAAATATTAGATAAAATAGTGGATGTAATATAAGTGCGAAAGAAGGTGCTTTGTAGAATATTGAAAAAATATTAAAAAAATCCTCTTCGTATTCATGTTTATAAAAACCTAGGTATTATACATGGCTTCATAATTCAAGAAAATTACATGTTAAATGTAAAATATTATTGAGTGGATAAGACTATTGTTTTCTAACACTATAATTATAATACGATTTTGTAAGAAACTATAGTTATTGTGATTGGGGTTCAACTGTTGATTATTGTTTAAAAGAATATTATTTGAATTACACGTAGCGTTAAATTTTTTTCAAACTGTGTGATTTGTATCAACTAAAAAGATAGGATAGGTTTTATCCCGATTATTTCCTTTTTTTTATAGTAAAATTAATGAATATTCAAATTCAGATTCAAAATATTTTATTCAGCATTCATTTATTACAATTTTTTACTGAACGTCATGAGTCTACTACCAGTTCGGAAAGAAGAAGCCTCAGATCTGAGAAGAACTGGCGAAAGAAACTCAGCGGGACTAATATTATTTCTTTTTTTTTTATAAAGTTAAATTATAAATTACAGTATTTCTATAAAATTGAAGTAGCCTGGAGGCGATCATTCATTCCCAATCTTCTATGTGTGCCACAGTAAGTAGCAACGTGTGGACTGTGGCCGCCATAAAAACACAAGTAACATTTTTCAAATCGAACTGGGACTTCCAGGGATAATATAAAAAACAATTCTTAAACCTTCAAAGACCGAAATAGGTATATGAAAAGAAGTTGCTAATTATACTTTCTATTTTTTTTGGAAAAACTAAAACTTATGTTTTATTCTTGATGGAAAAGGCTAGACGGATTTGAATGAAATTTAGCACACAAACACAAACTTAAGAAGCTAATAAAAATAAAAGAAGGAAAGTAGCTAATAAAAAAAAAGAATTACCAATTTTTTTTTATTATTTAAAGAATAATTAATATATATGAGGAAATCTACTCAATGCGGCCTGTAGTCTGTACGTACAATACATATTTTAAATGTTAATTTATTATTAATTTCCTATACCAATATAAGCAATTAGTAATTAAGTAGCGTTTAAAGCAAAAAATAATATGCGTTGTAAAACATAATTATATCATATTTGCACGATAATTACATATTAAAGTAATACTTTTGTATTCATATATTATTAGTATTTAGCATGTAATTCAACTATAAAAGACGTTATTAATGTCAGAAAAGCATATTTTATAAGTAAATTTTTCACAAAATGGATACCACGTCACAATTTAATAAATCGTTACAAAAAATTCAATTCGTGTTCACTTTGAGCGGTCTTACATTTCAAAGTAAAAAATTAAGTAAGAAGGAAATGTTAAAAACACGATGTATGTATCTAATAGACTTTCTGTTTCTGAACAGCGGTCTACTGGGTGCTGTATACTGGTTTGTAGATGGTATGCTAACAGGAAAAAAGTTTGAAGAACTAACCTTCGCAGCACCTTGCATTACCTTTAGTTTACTTTGTGATTTAAAACCAGCATATTTGATACACTACGAAGATCTCGTATGCGATTTGATTGAGCATTTGCGAAAACTTGAAAACAAAAGTACCAAGTGGACCAAAGAAAAAGCTGAGATGAGAAAAAGTGAAGCAAATTTCTTGCATAAAATTTTAAAGGGCTCAAATGTAGTAAACACACTGTTACTTTTAACATTCTCAGTCAGCCCCTTTATTTCAATGACGTTAAACTATATCCAGACTAAGGAAGTAGAGTTCATTTTACCACTTCTCATTAAATATCCGTTTGATTCTTTCAATATAAAATTCTGGCCGCTCGCGTACGTGCATCAGTTTTGGGCAGGTAAGTAGGTACTAATACTGCAAAAGTATCCTCAAAAAGAAGGACACAACGAATTGTGTCCTTCTTTTTGAGGACACTATCGAAATATTATGCGCTTTTTTCAAATATCTTCTGTTTATTGCTTCTCGGGTGACAAAATTAAAACATACGTTGTTTCCTTTATTAAAAAAAACTGATTTTAAAAAAACCCACTAAAAGTGCAAAATAACAGATTGGTAGTTTTCATTTACAATAGATACCTAATCAGATATTTTCGAAGTCGGAGTGCTTTAATTTGTATCGGCTAGCACCCACTTCGAAAATATCTGATGAGATATCTACTATAGTAAAAGAAAACTACTAATCAGTTTTTTTCAATTTTTAGTGTTTTTTTAAGTCACTTTTTATTTTTATTTCAAAAGTTTATTCTTCCAATTTTAGTGTAGACATAATTCTCTACAATTAGGGGTGGATTTTTTTCAAACTTAAATGGGACCAAATTTGAGGTATAACTTATCTAACAATTAAAGAATCATCGAAATAGGACTACACTGTAAAAAGTTATGAGTGGTCAAACATTAAAAAAAACGTGTCGAATTGAGAACCTCCTCCTATTTTTTTCTTCGGTTCAAAAAGTACTTTATTTTGTATATGTAAGTTCGAATTAGTGTTTAGACAATTAGAACCTTTGATTTTCGAATTTTATTCTTTGGTTTGACATAACGTCACTTTTTGATAGAGATATTTGTTACGAAATGCGTATCTATCTATACTAATAAATGGAGAGCCGATTTTTTGTTCGGTTATACTGCGATAACTACTGAACCGATCGGAATAATAATCATACTATAACTTATAAGATGCAGCGTGCTTCGGAGAAAGTTTTAGTATATGACATGTTGGTAATTAATGTACTATGCAGGCGGAGCCGCAGGAAAACGCTAGTGTTTATATATCGATGGGTAATGGTGAAATTATTTGACTTTTGATATAACGGTCGACAATTATTTTAAGATTATTATACTTGCGGCTATAGGATATCACTGGGACTATTCTAATCTTATTAAAATCCTAGTTCAAAATTTAAAAAACCGTATATTCTAGATGAGAATTCCTATATAGATGATCATGATCACGTATTGTATCTTTGGTCGGATGTTATCTTAAAAATATTCTGTGATTAACTTCAAGGCTGATAAAGTCTCAGGATTTGATATTAACTATACAATAAAAATTAATATTTATTGTTTTAAAAATTTTATATGCCTATAATAAATAGTCAAAGGTCAATAGAAGGTTACTGAGACTGCAATGCTTTAAACAATGGTACCTTTAAAATTCTATAAGAGTATTTATTTATTTACGTCTAAAATTTTATGGTGTTTAGTTATCAAGATACCATTATAAATACAAAGATTTATTAATTGAAATTCATTTGCTATTAATAGTTAATAAAATAACATTAAGAGCTCGATTTATTGAATTTTTAAACTAAGTAATATGTGTATATGTCTTTGTATAGGCATATATAGAGATAGAGAGAGAGAGAGAGAGAGAGAGAAATGATATAGGCTATTTGTTATTCAACTTCCAAAAAAGTAAAAATATTGAGTTTTTAATAAAGTAAAATAGTTTACATTGTTCGACATACTCGTATGTAATATGTAGATATGTTTTACGTGGAAAAAGCAAAACGTGTCGGAGATATAGTCTGTTGTGCAGTGTGTGGTCTAGCGTTGTCCTGAAGCAGCAGTGGGCTAGAGCAATTTACCGGTTTTGGTTGTTTACCGGCTAGCTTTTCCATCACGCTTTGCAATTGTTGACAATACAGATCTGCCGTAATCGTCTGGCCAGATCTTAAGAAGCTGTAGTGGATGACACCAGCACTGGTTCACCTGACGTCTACCAGTACCTTTTTCTGAGCCAAGTTTCGCTTGGGGTAGAATTTGGCCGATTTTCCTGGGTTTAACCATTGTGATGAGCATTTCCAATTATCGTACAGGATGTATTTTTCATCATAAGTAACGATACGATTCAAAATCCCCTCGTTATTGTGACGGTTGAGTAATTTAACACAGCATTCGACGCGCGTTTGTTGGTTGGTGTGCTTCACTCAACCCATTCTTCGAACTTTTTTCACTGTGTTTCAAGTGAATTAAAATTGTTTTATCACCCACATCGGAGCTTGCCCCTAACTCTGACGTGTTTGCGATGGATCCGCTGCCATGATGACTATTTGAAATAAATTTGAATTTAGGATTCCTAACCAAACCCCAGACATTTGAGATCAAAATGTCATTATAGTGACCAGTTCGACAAAAACGCCAATTTCATATGTAAAGAGCTAATATTATTTGGAATCTAATTCAAAATCTTACAAGAATAAAGAAAAAATAATATTATTTTGCTTAGTAGATAGTACTCGTAGTATCTATTTTAATAATCTATTTATTCATTTCAAATAAAACTTTTATATAAAAAAAAACGAATTATTTTAATTTAAATTTAATCATTTTTATATTTATTTATTAAAAAGTAGTTCCCATGGCCTATTTATTGCATATCTAAAGTAATTTAAAGAGGCTAGTTGTTAATAAATCTCTAGCACTCAAAATTTTCCTTTACATCCCGAAATAAATACGTGTATGATATGATTGATGATGAATATAAACACTATCTTCGAACGCTAATGAAAGCACCACGACCTGTAAGTTACACGGTACTTAAAGTTTTCAAACCTTACATTTCTAGAGTTCCGTATCCGAATGGATTTTTTTTAACTTTGGGAAATGCATCTACGATAGGGTGGAGAGAAAATTTTTATTTTTTCTTAGATTAAGGACTAAAATGTCTATATTATCTACTCTTGAATGTTTTCAAAAATAAAAATAAAAGTTTTCATTCAAACGAAAAATTTAAATTAATTATTTATTTTAAAAATCAGTGGGCCACCTAAAACAGTTAAGTATATTTTTTTTTCAAATTTTTTTTATTCTACCCCCAAGCTTATTTTTTCGCTCTAACCTAATTTAGGCATACCGCCTATATTGGGTATATATATGTACATACATGTTGTTATGTGGAACTCACCGGCTAGAAAATCCAGTATTCCTCTTTTGTAGAAAATATACGTAACAAGTGCCAGAAAACATTATATTTTATTACTATTTATCTTAATAATATCTTTAATTTTAGTGGTCGTCGTGATTATACACATTATTGGACCCGACTATCTTCTATACGTTTGCTGTACATACCTACGCATTCAGTTTCGGTTGCTTCAGTACGATATAAAAAATGTCATTGTATCCAACAAGATGCTAACAGAGTCTGAGGAAGTATTATTTGAAGAAAAATTCGTAGAGTTAGTTAAATGGCACCAAGAGTTGATACGGTAAGCTTTTACAAATACGTTTAGTAGATAGCCTTAAATTCTAAAACATCTATACATAATATAACAAAATTCTAACTGAGTCGAATCTATACATCAAATATTTTTTGGAAAATCTTATTGAAATAGTCATTATTATCGACACAGAGGCAGAATTTATAGTTCTTAGAATTTTTGTCTGTCTGTCTGATTGTCTGTCTATTCATGACCGCATCACGAGAGAACCACTAGACAGATTTTGATGAAATTTGGTATGATGATAGCTGGTTACCCGGATCAACTTAAAGGATATTTTTACATGCTGGAAAATATCTCATCTCTGAGAAATCTATACTAAACGTTAAAACATAACTAGGGACAAACCCGAGCAGAGCGAGTGTGAGTCGCTATCACCTTTATAATATTGATTAGTCAATTCAAAAACTTAAACTTTTATTTATGTGTCAAGCACTTAATTATAATATAATGATAGATTCGTTTAATATTTTTCAGGTTGGCAAGTTTACTGGAATTAATCTATACGAAGTCAACTTTATTCAATTTCGTTTCCAGCTCACTATTGATCTGTTTAACTGGTTTTAACGTTATAGTAACGTATTTTTTTAGTATTTTTTTTATTAAAAGAAATCAAGTACGATTCTCATATTAAACTACCTTGGTGGTCTGGTGGCTAGCATGCACGTTTGGGTTCGAGTCCCAGGTCGGGCTATGTAAAGTTAGTAATCGAGTCTTTCTGTGAAGATATTTTTATTAATGCTCACTTTGCTTGGCCTACGTAAATTTTTCTTTTGGTCAGAAAATATACAAGAAATCCAAACCAAGGCTGAAATAATGTACGAGAGAAGTTTATATATTATGGTATATACTCGTATAATAATTTTATTGTTCTAATGCAGACAAATTTTATGTTCGCTGTCGATAAAATCAACATGTGTAAATATTTTACTTTATCATTTTTCTTGGCGGACCCTGACTACTTACCTATTTAATTCTTTAGTCATAGAGTGAGACTTTAACTTTTTCCAATTTTAATGCAAATACTTAATATATTGTAGGCCGTAAAAAATTTAGCCTTTGCCGTGTCGTTCTTCGTATTTCTAGCAACGAATCTATTACAAATATACCTACTTTGTTACTTCGGAGATCTAGTGATGAAGTCTGTAAGTATTATTTTAATCTGTTTATATTTTAGATAAACGTATTTTAAAAAGAAAAACGTGATAAAATAATAAAAAAAATTTCGTGTATTTTAATTTGAAAATTACCAAGAATATACCTCGAGACATTTTGTAATTATTCCGTAAATGTTTTTACTTTTTTAGAGCATGGAAATAGGCGATGCTGTTTATGACAGTAAATGGTATTACATCAACGCTAAAGCAGGAAAGAACTTACAGATTGTGCAAGCAAGGTAAATGGCGGATGCTCGATTTATATCTATAGAAAACCTAACGTTGATACTAAGCATAGAAATATGATTAAATTTGTTATAATAAAGTCTTTTATAACTGCAAATGTAGTTAGACTTTAATAAGCAATATTGTAAATAAAAATAAATTAGTTTGTTTATTTTTTATAACTAATGAACAAAGATATTGAATAAGAATATTATATAAATAAATTATACAGATTTATAATTATAATATCACACAAAGTCGTAAGCAAATAACATGTAATTTTATTTTCTCAAGATTATTGAAAAGCAAGTAGGTACAATCTATATATACCTATAATAAAATTGTAACTAAGCTGAATCTGTACATTAAATATTATTTGGAAAATCTTATTGAAATAAACATTATTATCGATACAGAGGCCGAATCTATAGTTTGTAGAATTTTTGTCTGTCTGTCTGTCTATCTATCTGTTACCGCATAACAAAAAACCACTGGAGGAATTTTGATGAAATTTGGTATGGTGACAGCTGGTTATCCGGGTCAACATATAGGATACTTTTTACTGCGGGAAAATATCTCATTTCTGAGAAAAAATACAAGAACTGCAAAATAACAGTATACTAATATGTAAAACTAAAGAAATTTGTTTTCAATTACCTGAACGCGGGCGGAGCCGCGGGCAATGCTAGTATGTTATAATATTTTAACTATTAGAAGCCTCATTTTAAAATTAAATTTTTAAAAGCAAACTTTGAACGAGTATTTCAAATAATTGAAAATTATTTTGAACAAAGTGTAAAACAAACCTTTTTAATAATAAAATACTTTCAGAGCCCACAAGCCCTGCAAACTGACCGCCTTCGGGTTCTCTGACGTCAATCTGAGGGCCTTTATGAGTGTACGTATAATATTATGTCCTATCTACTTTTATAAAATTTATTTTTTGTAAGAGATAGGTAAATGACATAATAAATATATATGTATGTAAGCACGTCGCATATTTTCTTTTAAATTATATTTAAAGAAATAATTGGTACATGTTTATTATTTAATGCTGTGTACGTAATATTTTTTAATCATATTATACCAAATTAATGTTGATAATCAATCTTTTTTTCAGATTTTAAGCAGCGCATGGTCATATTTTGCTCTACTTAAAACTCTATATACTCCAACAAAAAATTAGAATAACGCATCACTTAAATACATAGATTATATCAATTGTAAACCTGGAAATATAAATTTAGAAGATTTTCAAGTCTGAGTTAACATTATTTTTATATATTATACATATTTGAAATTATTTACTGCTAATTAGTCCTACTTTTGCCTATTAATTCACCATTTTTGCAGTGGTAATAAAAAAATAAAACATCCTACCTACCTGACATTTCAAATAGAAATACGACCAGATAAAAAATTAAAAAGGCAACGTGCGATCTGTGGAAAGCATTTTAATCTGTGCTTTTAAAAAGTTAGTGGATTACGGAGTCTTTTTGAGCGGGAATTCTGCATCGTGCGGGAATAAATCACTCAGTGGCCATCTTTTTTCGGTTGTTTGGTAACTCTGTTACTTTTTCTTTTACATGCAACAAGTTGCATTGTTGATTCATGGATCCATTTATATCTCTGGATATTCTAGTGCGATGGGTAACTCTTTTTGTAGAGCTTTTTATAGGTAACTTTAAAGTTTTAAAGTATTTTAGAACAGTATGAAAAATATGATGAATGACGAGTATATAATGCTTTTATTTGTTTTTTACATTTATATGGGTCAAAGCAACATTATCATATTATAATATACTCGTACATTTACCTACTGATAATATTAGGACATTGGACACATGTATATACTGGTATCGATTTGCAGGTTTGTATCGATTACACAGTATAAAAACTAAATATTTCTATTTTATTTATTTATTGATTAGGTACCTTAGATAATAATAAAACCTGTAATAACTTGACAAGTCCCACATTTTATATTCATCTATATCTAAGTCAATATTAAAAAATATCCTAAAACCTTTCCTTTCTATGTAGTTTACGAGCAGAATAAAACTCGTATCTGAATAAAAAATACAATACAAAAGTTGTCAATCTGCTCGAGCACTATAATTAAAAAAGAAAAGTCACATGCATATTTTTTATCAGTGTTGGTGTCCCGCCGCAATAAGTCGCGAGCAACAAGTGGGGCAGGGGTGTGAGGGAGGCTCAACAGCGGACTTGATATATTGCTTTCGCAGGGAAAAGAGGGTGCGTTGTCTCGAATCAGAAATATACTATTTTAACGTGCTCTGTGCGAGTAAAAAAATAATAATTTATATTATTACTAAATACATTATATCCCCTAGTAGGTACTTACTCTTTTAAAATGTTCCATTCAAGATCACGTTTTTTTTCTTATCAAAGGTTTTGTTTAATTAAAAATAAGCTACTATTTTGTTAGTAAATGATTCGTTTTATAGCAACAATCAAATTTTTGTGTCAAGTTTATAGTTAATCACCTTGTTTGATATAATGTTATGGTACATTAATTTGTTATTCTATTAACTGTTTACCTTGAATATCTATCGGTTGCGCAAACCATTAGGTAAGTACAAGTAAAGTGAAGTAAAAGAAACTGAAAACTTAGGTACTATTAATTTAATGTATAATTTTATTTTCTATTTAAACTTAAATATTTCACGTAAACTCTATTGAAGAGGAAGTATCTTTGACATGGCTTTTATTCTATGATGTGCAATAAAGCTTTCTACACATATTTTTTTTCAAAGACAGCCTTAGAAAAAAGATTCATTACAAAAACAAGATAGTAAATTTAAATATAGTTTATATTTTCCTTTATTATAAAGAAGTTAAATTTGCGAAGCCCGCAGTTCAACCTCCCAGCAAGATACATGACAAACGCGACAAAACAAAACTTCACTTCACGTTCCCGGTATTTTACGGAAAGCGCGCGAAACGTTATTCGTCTACGGTGAACAATGGCCGTGATTTTATTTATTCTGCCAATGCATGTACGAGATGGCTGTTAAACCTTTTAAAAAGATTTTTTAATAATTTCGTTGATATCACTTTAACCATTTTTTTATTTACAGATCTCTTGTCTCTGAATTTTAAAGATGCAGATAATTCTTGTTTCACTTTTAATTTTAACATCGAATAAATTTAACTCAAATAAGTAAATGTTATGTATAATTAAAGTATAATAAAATAAGCTTTATTGGCTTAAATTTTATGATGCACCTTAGAGTTTAGGATTTATAATAAATATGTGTTTCTTTTTAATTAGTTTTTGCTTATAATTACAACTCGGAATCTACCTAGATTCTGTACATTAATAAATAACAGAGTTTCTGATATACATGGTCTCTATGTACCTACTGTCCGTTATATGTATAATCTAGCGCAATTTACTATTTTGTTTACTACAGTTTAAATGCCAAATAGTTCTGAAATTAGCGTAATAGATAATATTATGTCAGTATTTATTAATATAAAAATAGTGGTATGCAAATACTTTACATAATTCTATGCATGTACTGTCTAAGTACATACTCTGCTTAGAACATCTGAAATAGATGGAAAGGCCATAGTAGTTAGTACCTACTGTCTAAGTCGATACCTATCTAAAAGAAAAATTAAATATATTGTTCTATATGACTGCTTCATTTACTATTTTGACAGTATTTACCAATAATGTACGATAGGTCTTAAACGGTAAGCTAAAAATTACAAACTATATTAAAAGAATAATAAGTAAGTTAGCTCAGCTAGCTAGCTAATGAAAACGTCTTTTATACATCAGTTAACTTACTAAAATTGGTATACCCGGAGGCACTACAATTAAATGTTTAAATTCACAATATTCTTCCAAAACTTTAAGCTCAGGTAGAAACTTACATAGTTTAATAAGAAAAGGTCTATACTTCTAAGAACCGTCTCCCGAAACGCTATAAAGGACAATATTCTGTAAAAATAATTCGAAACGAAAATGAATCTTGTTGTGGTTTGTATAAGTCATATACTAAATTAGGGTTGAGTGAAATGATTGCATGTTAACATTTAGCTGTTTCGGTCGGTAGTTTGAAGAAAGGAAAGTAAAATGTTTTTTTATAATAAAGTAATATCTCTGAGTGAGTCTGAAATAATCAATCATATTATATTTCATTATTGTTTGCATGAAGTATATGTACACTTAAATTTATCTTAAAAATGAACAGTAACTTTTCTGTCATTTGCGGGTGTTATGTGTACTTAAGAGTTATATTAAACCTAGGTGACAAAGGTTGTTAGCAAAATTAATTATTTTGAATTTTAATTACTTTTTGAATTTTAGGAAATTAGATTCGGAATGATGTGTGCTTAAGCATGAATTTCTTCTATATTAGAATATAATTTACAAATTAAATGTGCGTAATTGCAAAAAATATATAATACATATTATGTATTCACATTACGTTGTGTTTAAGTATGGGTAGTCGTCATCGTCGTATAATAAGGTAATAAATTATGACTAGATTCCGTATTATTATTATTGGGGCACAAATTAATTTACAAAGTTTAGAATATAACAATTCATATTATTTAGTTTAAATAATATTTTTTTATTAAAATACGTTTTGTACTTTCTTCAAGAATATCTTTATAAAATTTAAATAGGTTTTTTATCTGTGCTACCGTCGATAAAGCAGTAACAACCAGTGGCGCCAGCTCTGCTTTACCGACGTATCGCCGAGCTGTCATGGCGAATCGTGGTGTACGTTTCGTGCACAGTAAAACATAAATAAATAATGATTCTTAGAATGAATATTTTGCAAATGTGCGATAAAAAGTCTGGTGCCTATTCAAAAATATCATGATTAATGTGTGAGAAATATAATTTAGGGTTAAGTGAGCGTTAAAATGGACAAGAAAAATGCCATTCGGAGAGGCAAGAGGCCGTCTAAAGTGCTCGAAGAGAATTATTGGGATTGCAGCGTTTGTACATACAGGAATAACGCTGAAGCCTTCAAATGCTCAATGTGCGACGTTAGAAAAGGTATTAGTTCATTTGTATTAGACCTTTATTCTAAGAACCCATTCTTCAGCTTTCTTTACTGTGGATTCTTATACGTGGATAACAGCTTAAAAGTCATTTTCTTAATTTGCAAAGTTAATTAGGTACTACGAAGAAACGAATTTGCATTACATTAGCGAATGCCGTAGTATAAATTATGCATAACCTTTAAAAGGAACAAAGACTTAAAAAGTATTGATTAAGACTTAGCTAACCTTCGTACAAGTGGAGAGACAGTTTGTTATAAATTTCTCTCTCTACTTTCTACTTAAAATGATTAAATCTTATTTATATGTATATGTTTTGATTAAATTATGAAATTAATCTTAAAATACAAAGTGCATAGCTGCTAGCACTTTCTTACACAGTGAATTCTAACAGCTAATGTAAACAAATTGCCTCGTAAAAATAGTATCAAAGAAATCCCGCCACTATGCGTAGTGGACTAGCAGTGATATCGTATATAAACCAAACCAATAAAATATACACTGTTATAACCAAACTTCATGCAAAGTGCTAACTTTTATCATTGTTCACCTCCTGTCATTCATAACCCGTTCCAATTAAGTTCCTTTTTGCGATACACGGATTTTTTGTGACGCCGGACTTCTGAAATTGGTAGGATTAAAATCGTTGACCTTTTTATCGGCTGCTATACAACCTGTTTAATAGATAAACTAACTATGCAGATGAATGCAGGTATGCTGTAATCGGTAGTCATAATGTAATTAACAGTAAATTTTCTGTTTTCGGGCAGTTTAATACTGATATAATATTTTAAATAAAACTATCTTTTCGGATTTTGTCGCGGATTTATTTGGATTTTTGTTTCCCGACGTTTCGAATGCTTTACAGCATCCATGGTCACGGGAGAGTGAGTCTCAATCGAGAGTGAGTCTCTCCCGTGACCATGGATGCTGTAAAGCATTCGAAACGTCGGGAAACAAAAATCCAAATAAATCCGCGACAAAATCCGAAAAGATAGTTTTATTTAAAATGTCAAATATTCGCGTAAATCTAAGAAAGTATTACTGATATAATATATTAAGGTTTAACGTACAAACTTGCTAATAAATCGTTGTTAATACACGCAATAAATTATATGTTATGATTTGTTTATGGTACATATTGGGCGATAGCCAGATATTTTAATGTGATTTGCAAAACGACTTTTTCTTGTTTTGAATGAAGCGTGTTGGGCAGCGGTCCTAAAGGCGCTTTGAAATACGAAAGAAGTACCTACTATAAACTACATACTAAATGTTTGTATATATTCCACTAGCGACTCACCGTCACTTCGCTCGGGTTCGTCCCTAGGTTTATTCCTCATACAAACTTTCATCCCCATTTTCACCCGGGATGATTTCCGGGATAAAAACTATCCTAAACTATCTTCTTACCTAATTTCATCCAAATCGGTTCAGTAGTTTCGGAGCCTATTCAGTACAAACAAACAAAATATCAAATCTTTCCTCTTTATAATATTAGTATAGATAAAATAATGTGTTTATAATTACGTTTGTACGTTTACATACTTAACAATAGTAATGCCCGATATTTTCTTGAATAATAAGTTAAACTTATAGTAGCTAAATGCGTATATCATACCTTTAGCGTACGTATGAAATTCTGTATCTACTAATATTATACACGCGAATGTTCAAAAAGAAATAAAAACGGTACATGGGTCTTAGGGACTATATTTGGCTATATAAATAAATGCATTACCTAGTTACCGTCGCATTTAAATATACACCATATTTAGTTCCATCGTTTTAATATAGGTATTATGTTGTCATGTGTTGTCCTTATTTTTTTTATGAATATTAAAACATCCATACTAATATTATAAATGTGAAAGTGTGTTTGTTTGTCCTTCTTTCACGTCGAAACGAAGTAATGGGTGGATATGGAATGATAATACAACTGATAAGTTTTTTTTTATTATGATATTAATAATACTCAAATCACAACAAATCTTTTCGAATGAACTTTATGTGACTAACTTCGTTCATTCAACCTGTATCAGCTCGGCTATATTCGGTTTAAACATGGCCGACTCGAAATGTCAAACCTGCCTGTTTAACATTTGAAAATTCGCATTCGAAAAAATCGAATTTGAAAAATCCAATATTCGTTACATCACTATTCGATACTCCTTGACGCTGAAATGGCTAAAAATAATTGAATGAAAAGTATACAGATAAACAAAATTGAATGAAAAGTATACAGATATATACCTGGAGTAACACATAAGGTACTGTTTAGCATATTTATTACAATTTGCATTTAAAAAGCAGAATATGAATTTAATTTTCTACCTACATTAAAAATCTATTGTACATTAAAAATACAGTCAAGTTCGAGCTTGACTTGCGCACGTATCCCTCGGAGCATCGATTTTCAGTCTTGCTGGGTAGCGGAAAGTCGTATGAAATTATTATAGCTATAAAAAGTTCTAACGTAACTATGGTTATATTAAATTGTATTTTTATCTTAGGATGTTAAATTTTATGAAATACGAGATAAATTGTAAAAGGAAAATTTCAAAATTAGCTATTTACTTAGACAATACTGAAATGGCCATGTTGGTAAATTATTACTAGCGATTCTCCCTCGCTTCGCTCGGGTTCTAAGTGCCTGCGTCTTACCAGTTAGTATGGAATGGATAGACTATATATTATATCACTGCTCCGCTCTATTAGATAGTAGCATGATGACATAAAATGTTAGCCTTATAGTCTTCCTCGATAAATGGGTCTCCTAACGCTAAAATAATTTTTCAAATCGGATTAGTAGTTCCTGAGATTAGTTCAAACAAACAAACTCTGCCTCTTTATAATATTAGTATAGATATTTGGTTATTACTTGTATTCTTGTCAGGAATATTTAATTGATTAATTATAAAATATTTCTTAAATGATCTCGTGACCTAACAATAAACATTATTTGTAAGTACGCAGCTGGAGCCTGGACCTAATATGTATTTGTAGATACTATAACGAATATGCATTACGCTTGGATCGTAGAGGTCCTAGCGACTGCAGCCTAGCCTTGTATAATAAATATACTGGCATTAGAATCTACAATACTATCTATTACTAGTGGCTTACCCTCGCTCGCTTCGCTCGGGGTCGCCTCTAGAAAAACAAATCCAAATCTATCCCTCGGGAACCGTATATTTTTCCGGGATAACAAGTAGCCTATGTGTTGTTCCAGACTATAGTCTATCTCTGTGCCAAATTTCATCCAGATTCGTTCAGCCGTTCTGGCGTGAATGAGTAACAAACATATCCATATTTCTTACAAACTTTCGCGTTTATAATATTAGTAGGATTATTTACATACTAGTGTAATTGCCCGCGGTTCCGTCCGTGTAATTAATTATTCATGTGTAATTGCTTCGCTTCTAAATGTCCTCACGCTAGGGCGTGATGCTATATAGTCTTAGTATTACAACATTCAAACAGACAAACAAACAAACTTTTCAGCTTGAAATAATAAATATAGATTTGGTATTTCAAAAATCAAATCTAAATAACATGGCTAGATTTTACAGAGATTGTTAGAGTTCACGTAGTGTTATCACAGCGAAGTTTTGTGCGATTTTAAAAACTTAAGTCATAAGAGGATTGTGTAGTGTCGATGCGCGACGCGAATAGGTTTTTAAAAAAATGCTATCTGTTTCATACCGCTCGCTTTGCCAACCCGTATGGTGCGATAGGGAGAGTTGCAAATCTTAGGGGCAATTTACATACATTTCCTGTTTAAAATATTCTTTCGGGCGATAACGTTTTCACCCCCTTAAAAATTTACGTAATGAGACAATTTTGGTCTCATTAGATTCAGTACACCTTAATCTAGGTCTGTACGTTTTTCTTTTTTAGTAATTCAGTTTAGTTTAATTAAAAAAAATAAAAACGCTCGAGGAAGTTTTTAAGTAAAAAATACAGATATTTAAATGTTAATAATTTCTATCATACGCAATATTTCTTTAAAATAAAAAGGTACGGACCTAGTTTTTCATTATACTTATCTACAACATTTCCAAAAATTATAAAAATTAGACTATGTTAATGGAGGGAAAAACGTTATGAAAATTTACAGCTTCACGATCTTGTTGAATATTAAATAAGTACATACATATATGTTGTTGAAAAATGATATTGGGATATTAAATAAAATAACATACAGTACATAAGTACCTACGAGATGTAATCAAAGCCAAATTAACAGTTTTAAGCAGCTAGCTCTGCCCTCCCGAACCTAAAGTGCAGTAACAGCAAAAACACGAATTCGAGAAAAACGCTCTTAAAGTTTAGAATCCATAAAAATATATCAAAAAGAGACTTTTCGATAAAACCTTGAATGGAAAGTGAAAGAATATGTACCAAACTAAAATACTAAACATTGTTACGTTAGTTTTTTTTATAAAAAACTATAATTATGGCAATTTTAATTTTTTTGCCCCTATTACTACACACACTTTATTTGTATAATCTTTTCAAAAACTGTTTTAAATGCAGTAAATCCTGTTATTACTGCATTTTAGACATTTCTTCCATGATTGTTACTAACTAAAGTGCAGTAATATTATGAAAATACTGCTATTTAATTTGTTTTTTTGAACAAAACACTGATATTCCACACTTATAGTAATATAAAATTACCTTTAATTTTGATAAAAATATGTAATTTCTTAAATAAAAACTGGACATGCATTTATGACTATGCTATTAAAACTATCATCAAAACATTGTACATTATAATCTAATAGTGTAAATGTTTTATATGACTAACAATATAACAATCTTTACAAGATGTTGACAATCTTAACTAGTTAAAATCCACCATAAAACTATATCACATGTATTTCTCATGCATGGATCAATAAAATTTACATAAAATCTTTCTTCTGAACATAACTAATTACTAAATGAGTATTCTTGTCTTACAAAAATAATAGTCTGAAAAGATTATGG